AGGCAAAGTCAAGGAATAAACAATTCCCGCTATTCCATAGCAGGTCCTACATTTCTTTCTCCCAAACTCAATTGTCCTATGCACAGGGTCCTGTATGACCCCCAGACCCAGGGTCCATTCTCTGCCCCATACAGTTCTATTCCACTTGCTGCATGGCTGCAGTGTAAATTATGTGGTTATCAGAGTATGCAGTGGGTTTACAGAGCGAGAGTGAATCTCGGGCTTCATCTCAGCCAATAGTAACATTGAGAGTGGACACGCATGCAAGGTAAGAGTAGCAGGATCTGCCACTTCAGGCAGCGTTCCACAGTTATATTTTTTTTTGGGAGGCAGTACACTCATGTGTTCTGGCACATGACCAGTTGCATCACCTACTGGGGGACATATTTAGGTTTACTAGCCTCATATGCACACGTGCCCCAAATCAGGTCTGTTAAATCCCTGTACTATTCTTGATAAATTGGCTGCAGGAGTCTGAACTGTTCCTGAACTTTTCTGTAGCGGTATAGTACAGCACAATAACAGAGTATATCACAACTATTCCTGTGAATTCTCGGAATGGGACCACTACCTTCCTATTACAGAAGAAAACCGGCCTCAAAAACTGAGGCCAAAAAGTCCCCTGAAAGTGACCCAGTAGCCCCCTACAAGGCTATCAAGCCAAAGGGCACTGGTCCGAGAAGGGGCTAGGAGTTGGGTGCCTATGGATGAACCTCCTGTCAAACAGATGAAGATTCCCAGTACCCCGGGTAATCCCAAAAAGGATTAGGCCTAAAAGAGCCATGAAGCACTACCAAGTGCCCCTCATCCTGCTCTCGTAAAAATGGAAGTGCACCACATAAGTGTGTTACCCGAGAGCGACTCCTAAATGAATACACTATGTAGTGGTTCTCTCCCACACCGCAGGCACACCTACTACCCCTTCCCCACTGCCTAGCCCAACCCACCATGCACTACAGAACACCCCAACAGTGACCAGCGTGCTTGACATGGATATGGTAGCACACACCCCCAGGAACGGCCCCATCCCTGGGGCAAACCCCCAATACTCTACGCTCCCTGTATCTCTCAGCAATCACACATGCCCCCCCATTACCACGCCCCCCACCCCCAGGTGCCCACAAGCTCTACATCTGAAACTCTGAAATGCCTCCGGTCCCTGGAATCTGCAAAAATCCAAGGCCCTACCCTTGCCCCACCCTGTGTCATGTTCCGGGTCCCTGCTAACACTGATGACCCTTTCCTCGCAAATTACAACACCTCAGTAGCTGTAACTCTACCCGTTAACAACTGCCCAATTCCTGCTACAATCAACACTGACAGCTCAACAGTTGCCCCCCACATGACTCGCTCCCCTGCACCCACGGACACCCCTGCACAGGCCACCGCCGCTGCTCTAAGACCCCTAGATGACAACCTGGAGTATAACTACATCAACCTCACAGGAGAGCTGGCTAACTTCCGTGCCCATGGAGCCCACCCAGCCCGCATCCTAGCAAACATTGACAAAACCCGCTTCAACCAGTGGATTACAACTCCAAGAGCAATCCTAATCTACCCCCTCGATGCCAAACATAACCCCGAGAATGACCACAAGATGAGGAATGACCTCACAATCTTCCTAACCAGAGCTTTCCCCTTATCTGCCCCCTTTATCAAAGTCCACCCCCCATTGCCAAAGGATACGACCCCACTGGGGCTCCCTGGGGCTTCCTAATTGAGGGTCTCCACCCCTCCCATGCCCACCTTCTGGTAACCAGACACCTCTGGATGAGCCGCTCTGTTTGCTTCATCACCATCAAGCTGGCCACCTATTGCCTGACAAGCTATGTCATGACCCTCAAAGACTTAGGTGCAAACCTTGATGAAAGCGTGGTCATTGCCAATGCGGTAGCCCAGAAAATCCAAGAACCAAACTCAATATTCAAAACCTTCCTCAAAAAAGCCAACATCGACAAGGACGATATTGCAAGGATTGCCAACAGCTGTATTGCAACCCCAAGAGGATATGGCCCTGCTGCCCACCTCTCTTGTCTCACTGCAATGGAATGCAGGAACCCCCAACCAACATTGATGCATCCATGTGGAAAATCCACCTCCCATCCCCCTTCTTTCACATCATGGACCATGCCCCAGGGACTATGAACAATATACATGACCAATGGACTGGCCTCTTCAAACTCTCAACCTTCTCAGGCAACACAACTGGAAATAGCCATGCAGTTGGTGGTCTAATCTATTGCCATGCATGCAAGGCCATCGATCACATCTTCTCTGTCTGCCTGATTCATGACCACTACGCTTTGCGCGAGCTCAACCCATCCGTGGGAAAGCCAGAACCCGGCCCCTCTACTCCCCAGTCCCCCCCACCCAACCACAACTGGAAACCCTGGGGAAGAGGCAGAGGAAAAGGAAGAGGCCTAGGCCCCGGCAACCATGCCTGGTCCTAATCCCTGTCCCCACCCACTGTAAATCCCGGCCCAGTCCTTCCTTCCTTCCCCTCCCTCAACCTCTAAACAAGAGAGAATATAGTCCGGCCCCCCAATCAGCTGCTAGCTACGACTTGTAATTACATCACAGCTATCCTTCTCTTTTTTCCTCCTCCTTTTACCCTCCCCAAAATACAATTCCCCTCTCATGTTCAACACTAACCAAAAAGATACAGAAAAACTAACCCCACTTAGCATTGAAGCGCAAAGCATGAAGCTAGAGGTAATTCCGAAATAATAAGAAAAGGATGGTGGCTGTCTGGGCGAGTCCCTCACCTGGCCATGGGAACATGGCTGTGTGAAAACTCGCCCAGCCACAGCTCCCCTAGTACACTGTTCCTCCAACACCTGGACCATGAGTGCTAAGAATAGCTGGGTTGGTTCTGCCATAACAGATGGTATTGCAGCCTCAGCAACCGCAATCCTGTCCAACCCTCCTGCCCCAAAAACAATGCCCTGCCCTGCATAACACCCAACATTTATGTATGGCTGCAACAATTAATAATGTATAATTAAGAAACCTCCCCCCTGCCCAACAATGCTACTAGCATGCCCAAATCTACTGGACTGAAAGGTGACAGGAAAGCATGCTAGCCTTCCCCCCAGCTCTCTCCAATGGCCAGCAACCAGGAGTGCACGTGAAAACAACCGCCAGTACCCTCAAAAACTCAATGATAATCTCTAAGGATCCCCAACATCCTGGTCTCTGCTTAGCTGGTAAATGGCCGCCTCCTTGTAAGGTGGGTGTCCTAGAACCCAGCTGTGAGTATCAAATATGTATGATTCACAGTGGGTAGGACGATAGTGACCTCCCTGGGTCACGTGACCCCCTACATACATGGACCATGACCTGACACTCTCCCCCCTTGCATTGCTTGTCAGCGCACACAAAGAGAAAGAGGGAAAGGGTACATGAAAAAGAGAGAAAAGAAAAAAAAAGAAAAAACAATCTTTTCCATGACAATTTTATGTGGTAATTTATGAAATGGAGAAAGTAGAAAGTAAAAAAAGGAGTGTATTGGTAAGTGAGTGAAATGTTATGTGTATTGTTAAGAAAGTTTAAATAATAGAATGGAGGCTAGAATAAATGAATGTTAGTTACCTCTGCAAATTTTGCGGGGTTCTCCCCCCTAGACTGGTGTCTAGGTGATAAAATAAAATAATGAGTAAAAATCCTTTGCCCTCAGGTAAAGGGTTCTCCCCCCTAGACAGATGTATAGGTTTAAAAATGTGGTCTAGCCATATAAGGGTATGGCCAGAGGAACGATTGGCCTTGTGAGACCTGGCATCGCTCCACCTGCTTCCTGATCTAGGAAGCGGTTCTACCCAGTATTGGGTAAGGTCACATCATCTGGAAGTCAGATGATGAATTTAACCTCCCTTGGGGGTGGTTTATCTGTTGGCTGGACAGGTGGATCACTATGGGTTTCCCCATAGTGAGTAGATGGTATAGTGGTATCCCTTTCAGATGATGAAAGGGAAAAAGTTGAAAATTTTCGGGGATTTTTCCCCAAGAGTAGGTTACAGAGAGTGTGATCTCTGTCTCTCATGGATAGACCATGAGGTTTTTCCAGAGGAAAAACTGGTGTTGGCATTGCTTCGGCAATGGGTGACTTCCCAAAGGGTAATTGGCTAGACCACCTCCCACCACCTGATGAACCTGGCCCCAATTCTGGGTGGTTATCTTGTGGCCTGATGTGGTGCTGTTCCACCATATTTTGGGAAGGTCCCCTCAGTGACTTCCCAGAGGGTAATTGGCAAGACCACCTCCCACCACCAGATGAACCTGGCCCTAAATGCAGGTGGTCATCCTGTGGCCCAATGTGGTGCCGTTCCACCAAATTCTGGGAGAGTCTCCTTGGCGATTTCCCAGAGGGTAATTGGCTAGACCACCTCCCACCACCTGATGAACCTGGCCCTGAGTGCAGGTGGTCATCCTGTGGCCCGATGCAGTGCCATTCCACCATATTCTGGGAGAATCCCCTCTGCTCCCACATATGTATCCAAAGAAAGATAAGAAATATCACGCATGTTAAGTCCATGCGACGATGGTTGTCCCCCAGATCTGGGGTTCCCAAGGCACTGACTGTGTGCCTTGGTTTCCCTTATCAATTCCCAGATTTCTAGTCTGGCGATTATCTGTTCTGTACTCCCCACCCTCCATTCAGGTGGGAACTGGACAAAGTCCAGAAGTGCCTTGGATAGAGGCGAAATCGATGCAGGTGACATGGACTCTTTGTCCATGTTAGAGTGGATGCACTCATTCCTGGATGAAGCGCTAGTCTCACTGCAGTTGTGAGATGATGACTGCAATGTGGAGATTTTTCCACATTTCTTTCACTCAGGACTGGCTCCCTGTGCAAGCGGGGGTCATTCCATGAGTGTGCTGGATGATTCCCAGTCTTGTAGACTGGGGTTTGAACCGGCTCGTGCCTAGGTGGCGAGCTGGATGTCTCACTATGGCTGTGAGACAGTAACGACAATGTGGAGATTTTTCCACATTTTTTGCAATCAAAACGGCTCCCTGCGCGAGCAGGAGTTGTTGTTTGATTGTTTTGCACAATTCCCAGTCACATAGACTGGGGATTGAACCAGCATGCTGCGATTTTGCGAGCTGGACGTCTCACAGTTAATGTGAGACGATGTAGACACTGTGGAAGTTTTTTCCACATTTTTTGCGATCATTAACGGCTCCCTGTGCTGGCAGGAGCTGTTGTTTGATCGATTTGTAAAACTACCAGTCGCATAGACTGGGGAGTGAGCCAGCTTGCTGCTATATCGCAAGCTGGATGTTTCGCAGCTGACACGAGACGATTCCGTAGATGTGGACGATTTTTCCACATTTTTTGGAACTCCAAACGGCTCCCTGCGCAAGCAGGAATGGTCATTTGGTTGTTCATGACAACTCCCAGTCATATAGACTGGGGAGTGAACCAGATTGCTGCTATATTGCAATCTGGACGTCTCACGGTTAATGCGAGATGATGCTGGAGATGTGGAAGATTTTCCCACATTTTTTGGAATCAAAAACAGCTCCCTGTGCCAGTGGGAGTGATCGTTTGATGGTTTTGTGTAACTCCCAGTCAAATACACTTGGGAGTGAACTGGCTTGCTGCAATATTGCAAGCTGGATGTCGCATGGGTGACGCGAGACGAATCTGAAGATGTGGACGATTTTTCCACATTTTCTGGAGCTCCAAACAGCTCCCTGTGTGAGCAGGAGCAATCGTTTGGTTGCTTCTGATGCCTTCCCATCACATAGAATGGGAGGAGTAATGCTTTGAGGCCCGGGTGGAGGAGCCCGGGCATAAATGATGACGTGGCAGGTTTTGCCATGTAAGTTTGGCTTGGATTTGGCTCCCTGCACAACTGGGAGGCATCACACAAAGCCTTTGTACCCAACTGAGTTGGGTGAAGTGCAGGAGAAGTCATCTCCTTGCGAAAGCAAGGGTCTTCTGATGACTGAATTTGTGCACCCTTGCAAAAGCGAGGTTCTCCTGCTACAGGTGACAGCTCTGCCTGGCACATAAGGGGTTGTGCTGGCATTACTTTCACCTGTTTCCCAGTCTTATTGACTGGGGGTTTTGTCCCCTTGCTAGTTGCAAGGGTCTTTTGCTTGCCGGACTGGCAAGTGGAATTTGATGAAAAATGAACACTCACTTGTTTTCCACATAAAATTGTGGTTCCTAGCGATGCCAGGGATCAGTGTGATGTCAAACAAAAAGTACTCAAAAAAGTGTAAGGTGGGTGTCCTAGAACCCAGCTGTGAGTATCAAATATGTATGATTCACAGTGGGTAGGACGATAGTGACCTCCCTGGGTCACATGACCCCCTACATACATGGACCATGACCTGACACTCCTTCACCCCCTGAGGACTGCAGGTTATCCCATTTTCTGAATGTCCAAGGAAGGGGGACGATGAACCGAAAATGGACCCCCATAACCCCCCCTCTGCACCTGAGAGGAGGTTACCCCAACCTACCTAAGGATGCCTCTAACCTAAAAATAAGCGCCCTTAACATCAAAGGGGCAAATAGCCCCACAACCAAACACAAATGGCCATCCATTCTGAGAAAAATGAAATGTGAAAACTTTGGCATCCTCTGCCTCTCTGAAACCCACACCAACCTCCCACAACAATCCTTCTGTGAAAATACTAGCGTAGTTTAACTCAGTCTCAAGCTGAATAGCGTGGAGAACTAGTTAACATTACCTAGCATAGTTTAACTAAAGATATTACACATTTAGATATGAAGGGAAATTAGAATGAAAGAAAGTACTGACCTCAGTCTCAAGCTGAATAGCGTGGAGAACTGAGGAAAAAGGAAATGAATAGAAAGAGCAGGTATGTCCGTATAGTCGGTAGCAGATAATTCCACGATAATAGAAAAGGGAAAAGTATTCATTTACAGGTCAGGTGAAAGTCACCTGGTCAGAAACCTCTGGAACGCGCGCTGCACTCCAACACCTTCCTCAACAACACTTATGGTGCCGAGTGGGACATCATCCACTCCTTCGACTCAGATCACTCCTGCTTGGGAGGTGTTGCCATAATAAGTAATAAGAAAACAACTAAAATGAACCCCCTTTCTACAAAAGTCCTAATACCCAGCCATGCCCTCCTCACGGAGGTCGAATGGCCAAAAAATTCCCCAATAAAAATCCTTGCCATATACGCCCCTACTAACTCAAGTAATAACAATGCCCACTTCTGGACCGATCTGAACCAAAAACTTGCCAGCTCTGAGATAGACATCCTGCTTGGCAACCTAAACATGGTGGAAGAAGCCATCGACAGAGTACCCCCACACCCTGACCCAGAAACCACAGTAGTAGCTTTCTGCAACCTCATTTCCACCAAAGCACTCTCAGACGGTTGGAGAGTTACTGTCAGGGACATGTCCGGGGTCGAGGGGGTCCGGGTATAGCGCCCGGCACTGAGGACCTCACAGGGGGTAGATTGGGTGTGCATACTGGCAGGCCCGATATGGGACAGCTGTCCCTGGCCACTCAGACTGAAGTGGAAAAGGTGAGAAGAAGAAGGTTACTTCTTTGGTTCCCACTTCAGGTACATTTATGTACATGCGGCTTGAGTCACATGACAGATGCCACGTCATCCTCAGAGACAACTGCAGCCATCCAGGTGTCCCCACAGGGGATCCCAAGGGCATCCAGTGCAGGCGTGCATGCTGGGCACAGTGGGGAGCTGTCCAGGGAGTCTGGGTCAGGTGGGTCAATAGTACATTGATGCAAAGGAAAGTGGTCTGTGTAAATAGAAAGAATAAACAGGAGGGGAATGATGGGAAGAATGAAATAAAGAAAAGAGAGGAGAGAGAGTAGAAAGAAAGAAAGAGGAGGGAAGGAGGGAGGGAAAGGATGGGCAGTGGGGCAGCAGGTGAGGTGTGGCCGGGTGGACCTGGGTGGGCCTGGGTCAGGCAGGTGTGCCCTGACAGTTACCCACCCAGCCCCCAAGGAAGACTTCACCTTTGGCCACTCCTCCAGATTGTCCCTGTCCAGAATCGACAGGATTTATGCCTCTGATGCCATAAGAGAAAAAACCCTTACCTGGGACATACAGAGCCCCGACCTCCCCACTGCTGACCACCAACTCATCTCCTTAGAGCTCCACAACGACCAAGCTCCCCAAATTGGCAAAGGCTGATGGGCCATCCCCCTATACCTCATCAATGACAACAAATTCTTGAGTGAGGTTGAATCCTTGGGTAATGGAGCCCTTGAGAAATGTGCACAGAGTAATAACTCCCAACACATATTCCAGAACTTCATATCCACAGTATCCCACCTTGCTAGAAAAACCGCTAAAATAAAAGCTGGGAAACTTAACTCAGAATTAAGATGCCTCACTCACAGACACGACCATGCGATGAAAAGACTAGAAATCGCTGACAGTACCCTCACAGATCTAATGCAAACTCAAATACAAAACCTAACTATCAGAATTAATGAAATCCAAAAATCTAAGCTAGCCAAGACTAAAGCCTGATCCGGGGCCAATAAACACCTTCTGAGTGGATCCAAATACTGGTGCAGCTGGGGCAAGGAAAACAAACCATGCGACTCCATAAATGAACTGAGAATCCCTGGATCCGACCCCCCGGAATATACCTACAAAACAGAGGAAATGTCCTCAATAGCCACCTCACACTACAATGTGGTCCAACACAAAGACATATCCCCCCACTGCAACTCAAGAGAATCTCTCATATCAGATTCCCCCACCCGAATTCACACCCACATCCCCCCAGACACATCCAAAAACCTAGCCAAACCCTTAAGCCAGGACGATATTGGGCTTGCTCTTAGCCAATCTCCTAACAGTAAAGCCCCAGGCCTCAACGGCATCCCCACAGAACTCTATAAAAAACTATTCACAAGATGGAAAAAGAGAGAACACGACAACCAGGGTCTACACATAGTAAAACTCCTAACCCTCCTTGCCAATGACATTGAGCAGAATGGCACTACCTGCCTGTTAGAACTGGGCGAGGGTGGACGATTCCAGAGGGGAACCAGAGACTTAGCAAGGAGGGACCTTGGCCTCAGCGACTCAAGCAGAGCACTGTGCCATTGCTGTTTGTCCATTTGGTCCTTAATTTCATAGGAGGCGAGCAGGAAGTCTCTAGGGGGCATTTCAGGTCGATTTTAGACTAAGGACTAAAATGAGTATGTACAAGCACCGATATATATAATGGAGAAGGCGAAAGCACAGGGAAACAAAGGGGGTCTGAATGGGAACAAAGGGATGACAGAAGCGGAGTGGTACTGAAGGTCATAGGGCAGAACCTGTGGTACATCCGAAAGGAGGTAAGGAGGGCGAAGCCCAGAGGGGCAGGAGGATGAGGGGAAGTGGGGATGATGACTAACTGGCTAGAATGGGAAGAAGCAGCAGTCCAAATAGGGATGAGGGGAAAATGTGAGAGATACATTACAAGCAGTGAAAGTGCTGAAGATGATCCATGGAGCTTGGAGGTTGCAGAGCTTATGGAGGTTACAGACGTGGGGTTGAAAGTCCGAGGAATATTGGCAATGGTGTTTACATAGTATGAGGTCACCAATGCAATGGACTAAAGCCGAGGTGGAGTCAAAGTCCAAGGTAGGAGCTATGATGGAGTCTCGGAGCGAAGGTACGAGCGGTGTCCGAGTATGAGGTACGGGACAGTGGCGGAAGGTCATAACTTGGCAGAAGGGTGGTGGAAGAGGGCCAGAGGGAAGAGAGAGGAAAGGTGTCAGGTCTGAAGGTGAGTATCGGAGCGGATGGGAGAAGGGTAGGAGAGTGATGGAAGGGTGGAGGTGTTGTGAGGAGGAAGAGGAGTAGTGGGAGGAGGAGTAGTAGGAGGGTGGAGAGAGGGGTGGTGTTCGGTCCGAAGTGGGTATCGGAGCGGATGGAGATAGGACAGGAGAAGGAATGGAGGAGTGGAGGTGGCATGGGAGGTGAGAGGAGGTGTGGTGCCAGGACCCAAGGTGAATATCAGAACAGACAGCGGTAGGGTAGGACTCTGGAGGTGGTGAAGGAGGAGGTCCAGGAGTCAGGTCGGGATTGGGTATGCATGGATATGACACTGCCCCCAGATCTCTGAAGGCTGGCTCTGCCTGCTATATAAGAAAAAAGACAGAAGGGAAATTGTGAACTACAGACCAATTACTGTACTCAATACTGAATATAGATCATTACCACAGCCCTAATGAACAAATTATCCCTGATCGCCCCCTTCCTTGTCCACAAGTGCCAAGCAGCCTTCATAAAAGGTTGTACCAGATTGACCTTGTGAACTGAATGACAGACCTGTGCAAAATCATTAGTCAGGAAATCATTGCCCTTGACCAAGAAAAAGCTTATGACCGCATCTGACATGACTACCTATTGCATGTCATGGAAGCTATGGGGATTCCCACCTCCTTCATCTTGACTGTCAAAAGTCTATACATGGACGCCAGAACCAGAGTAATCCTAAACAGGGATATCAGCGAGGAATTCCCCATCATTAGAGGAGTCTGCCAAGGGGACCCACTATCATGCCTACTATTCAATATCGCCATTGAACCCCTTTCAATCACCTTAAGAGAGTCCCCCTCCCTTAATGGCCTCGAAATCATAACCCCTCCCTCTCCCAAAAGGTAATCATATCCCTCTTTGCCAACAATGCTGCTGTCTTCCTCTCCAAAGATGACAATCTAAATGACCTACTCAACACCCTCGAAAGCTGGTGTACTGCATCCGGCACCAAATTCAACCAAGAAAAAACTATAGTCCTCCCAGTCAGCTCCCCCAAACACAGAGATCATGTGTTTAATGAAAGAACCTTAAACCCCCAGTCTGGCGATAAACTCAATGAATCTATAACAATCCTCAAAGACAGGCAATCCATGAGATACCTAGGGGCCCAATGTGGGAACAACCCCAACCACAAGGACCCTGGCCCACTATAATAACTAACATAGAAAAATCTCTTACCCAGTGGAACAAATCCTATCCCTCAATCGAGGGCCGCTGCCTAATCACTCAGATGACCATCAGGGGAATG